TGAGGATCTGACCCTGCTTGAAAAATAGAATTAGAAAAAATATAAGTGAAGTTATAAGAGTTCTCTGGCACCTTTTCCATTTGCAACCCTCAAAGTGCTTTGAAAGCATTAACTCAGTTCAGCCCCCGGGAGAGCTACATTGCTTTTCCCTTACTCTGTTTTACAGACGAAGAAACAACACAGAGGTGAAATGCCTTTCTCAAGGTCACATACAGCCTAGGTTATAACCACAACTTCTACACCCCTGCTTGTAGCTCTAGATTACACTGAGAAGTTAACATGAACATAACTTCCCAGTATGAAGTGGTCCCTCGAGAATGAAATGTGCAAGCTGTAAAATATATAGCATGCTTATATTTGGTTACTCTTAAAGTACATCATTAAATAAAATGTTTTCAGTGAGCAATTTAAATAGTTCATAATTTATAATGTTACATCATGGCAAGGTGGTTTTTTAAAGTCAAATCTAATGAAATGACCGTTAACTTCAAACAAGAGGTTGAGCCTGTGATTCATTGAAGGGTTTGTCTCTGTTAGATTTGCAGCTACACATATTAAAAATTGATCCACTTATATATATTTTGCTGAAGTTATCATGATTATAAATTCTGAACACTTACCAGGCTTGTGGTGCACTAATACTAATGTTAGGAAACCAATATTTAGAACAGCCCTTCTTTTTTGCACTGAAATACATTTTTTCCCTGCAACCTGAAACTTGAACCTCTGATTTATTTCCCCTTCACAAGCCACAAATGCTTGTGTTTTCCTTGTAAGTTTTAGAGATCGCTAAGAAATAGTGTATTTTCTTTTTCTTTTCTTTTCTTCAATGAATGATTGCCTTTGTAATCACTTTTAAGTGCAAGGCATGAAATGCTTGTTTGCTTGTTTGCGTATCTCTGCTACAAACATGGAAGCATCAGGCCAACACATTTGAAGCAGATTGATGGTAGGGTTGTTTCCGTGTTTAGATGTCTGATTTGGGGTATCTTAGAAAAGCATGATGCAAAGGGTGAACTTTCAGCATGCTAGTCATACCGAAATAATGACATCCATTTAAATACGCAGTATATGTATCTCTGTATTTAAGCAGATGCTGCATCAGCTACCTTTTTCAAGGCTTCAAAATCAGACAAAAACTAAGACTGGCCTTGAGCAGGAGCCCCAATTTGAAGTGTTCTTGAGCTTTTTGAGCGTGGGAATCTGGTTTCTGGTTTGAATGTCCCCTATCCCAACCGAATAGAATCAAGATTCCAGGTCCCAAAGCCTGAATTTTGGTGAAAGGTGATCTCAGGCTTTCCATCTTGGCTGGCGGTTACGATGTCCAGCGATGCAGTGCTCCCTGGTTCACCCCCTAGGCCACAGCTTCTCTCTTTCTGAAGAAGGATCGTTGTCCACTCCGTGGAAGCTGAGATTTTTCTCTTGTTGCAAATTCCTCCCACTCTTGCTTCTTCTACCTGCACATCACAAAGCTTCAGATTTTTCTCATTCTTGGATCTATTTTTAAAACCTTTTCTTCTAACAGTGTATAATCAGCGCTCACCTGATGGGAGAGTGTACCCAAGATTTATGAGAAAGCTGCTTGAAGCCCGCATGGTAATAAAGTCCCTTAATCCCAAATGCATACGCAATACAGAACAGGGCCCACAATAAGTTTTATAGAAAGCATTAGTGTCAACAACTTAAAGAGAATTAAAAAGGAAAAATAACATTCCATCCCTGAAGTAAAATCCAAACATTGCCTAAGACTAAAAGGAGCATTTCTACAGGGAATTGCTTCTGAAAGATATTTTTAGTTCAAAACAAAGAAATCTCTAGGCACTCAAAAGGGATTATAGTGATCAAAAATAGTCTTCTGAAATATCAGCATCTGAAGAAAAGCTCAAGTAAAAACCACAGGTGAAAGAAAGGTAAGCAAGCTCAAACGCAGGAGAAAGTCCGCCTTTCATTTGCAGCAAAGATTGTCTGTGATCAGACTCCAGAATAAGGCAGATGCTACATGCTGTCGGGAACATTTGAAAACCGGCCTGTAGCTATGATCCATAACGATGCTAGATTTATTGACCACCGGATGTGAAAACAGAGCTTTTGCAGCAAATCCTCGGGTTTCCATTTGTGAAGTATCTCCTGTGTCATTTTCACAATTTTCAAGAAGTGATTAACCAAGGCACCAATGCTGCTCCTCTCCTGCCCGCTTATCAATCAGTGCAGTGTTAATAAGGTACCAGGTGAGACCGCTGAACCTCCCGTTGAGCTATTGAAAGGAAACTGAGCATGCTAAAAATATTTAGAGAGATTTATTTGATTTCTCCACATGATGTCCTCTATAATTTATCTTTTCAGCTCCTACTTACTCTATTTTCTGCTTTGTTTTGTTTTAGAAGGGGGTCTTTCTCTCCAGGCTTTTACTGTAAGCACATCAGAGACTTGCAACTTTGATGCTTATCACTGCAGTCAATCCTGTGTTTAGCTACTTGTCCTATTTGGTAAAACCAGCAGACTTCCCCAGTGCTTTTGCTAAGCACAGAGAGTCTGAGATACATATACATCTCAAATGTATATGTACAGAACAGTGGGGTTACAGCATTCCATTCTTAGCATGTATGTATAGTGTGCAGAAATACTCAGGCATGTGAATGGGCACCGTGCTGGGGTAAGCAGAGGATCGGTTCTTATTCTTCTGAGCTGCAAAAGAAGCCTGCTCTGCTTTGCTAAATGACAGTGAAACAAACCCCTCGTCTCATGGTTATTTGATTTAATCTAACAGGTTCCTTGGAACAGGCAGTTTTTTCCGTGAGACGCTGAAAGCAAAATCAAACATAACATTTTGGGATATTTGTCAAAAGCAGTTGAATGAATGGATGTCTGAAAATAAACATCAGTTTTTCTCCAATATTTCAGTACCCAAGGTTGGAGACGTGACAAATTTAGGAAGTGAAAAGACCATCAGGTTTCCATTGCATTTTGCTGACAAAGAAAAGTGAAATGTTAAATTTACTTGAAAACTTACGTTTACTTAGCAATCTAATAGCAATCTAATAATTGTAACAATAGCTCTATGAACTTGTTGGATGCTGTGTACACAGCAAAAGCAACTATTTTTTACATGAAAACATATCATAATCAGTACAGACCACAAAGAAGTACAAAAGCAAAATATACACATGAGCATACAGGTAGGGGATGAAGTTGCTCTTTTGGATGATCCAGAACTGAGTGTCTTATTACATTTAATGAGCAAGGTAACACAGCACATTAGCTTCTGACACAAAGTGCATTTCTAACTGGATGCCAGAACTGAGTACAGCACAGGAACAAGGAATAGATTGGTTGATAACAGAGAAAAAAATCAAGATTTTACTGTACAGCAAGTCCAAAAATAGTCTCTTGTGGCAAAGCCAGACTGACATGTCAGTGTACGTCTAGTTACCTCACAAATGATGTTGAAACAGAGAAATAGGCGGGTTCATACGTGCAGAGGCAAATAATCTGAAAATGTAAGTAGTTAGACTGGTAAAGAACTGATGTAAGACTCAAAACATAAATGATGTTCATGAAAACTTTTTTGGTGAACGGACTACTCTCCGTGTTGGGATATATCCCAAAGTTTTAATAATGTTAACGCTAAGTACATAAAGTTAAGCATACATTGAAGCTTTTCAAGGATCAGGACTTAAATACTAATATTTCAATACATTCGTGAGCTAACTTCTCTGGTTTTTTCCATATTGCCCTCCAAAACTGTCAAATACCTGACCGTTTTTCTCAGAGTACAGTGAAAAATAATTTATTATGCAAATAGCATGTTTCTACTAAAATCTTTTAATGGCATACATATCTGATGTTCACGTGTGTTTAGAAAACAAAATTAAATACAGCGAATTTAGGAGGACTAAGATCCTCCAGGCGCTCAGTTAGTTTGGATATCTAAAGCTCGGGGCATTTGAAGAGACCTAAATTTCAGTGAGAAAGTTCTCAGCCCTTTATGGCGCTCAGATACCTCTATGTTATCTTAGAATGAGCACTCAACAGAGTTGCTCAAAATCATCAGCTGTCTGTGGAAATCTTGATCCTTGTATGTGGAGAACCATTTTTAGGTAAGTTGTATATAAATAAGTACACCAACATATTAATATATAATTATTACATCAATATATAGCTCTTACCTCATACAAGAGGGTGTAGTGGGCACGTTATATTTGTCTCCACTGAGCCTGTTTGAAAGAAATATATGGAGTTCTGGGGACTCGCTGAGGTAAGTAGACTTCATTACTTAGACAAGAGGATTAAGAGCCTGTGGAAAGAATAAGGGGTGAGCAGGGAGGTTAGAAAACCTGAACAGAAGAAGTTTGAGAGTCTTTTAAAGAGAAACTTATTGTTGCTCTCTTTAGTAATCCAGAGGCAACAACATTTTGAGCTTGACACATTGCTGGGGCTGTAAAGTGTATGAGAGGGCTGATCAGGTATGTTTATCTTCTAATATAAAAAGTAAATGATTTTGAATGAAAATGGATACATAACCCTGCACAAATAGAGTTTAATTTTTGGTAAACCCAAGAGGAGGGAGCATGAGCTGGTTTCTGGAGATATTACTACACTTTTGCTGCTCAGTCCTAGTTTCATGGGAATTAATGCCAGGCAGAAATTAAATGGGAACTTTTTAAATGTTTAGACAAACTTAATGAGCCCATAGCAAACAGCAGGACATTTTTTTGGAAAATGATTTATCTCTTCTCTGCGACTGGAGCAATAAATACCCTGCAAATGAACTCCATACTCACTCATAAAATAAAATCCACATTAATCTCAACTATCAGAGACAACCATAAATTGAATGAAAGTGAAACAGAGTAAGGGCACTTTGAAAACAGCTACCTCACAGGGAACGCAGCCCTGGGCAGAGATCATGATGAAGCTGGCCAGGGTCAGCAGTGGAAAGGCCCTGGAGAACTGACTCACAGGTCACCTTAGGTGGTTTGAACATGAAATTTCAGGTCTCCATGAGCCAAGTGCGGATCCTGGAGGCCACTGCGGAGAATAATCATCTCCAGTCCGTAAAGGAGATCAGTAGAAAAACTGAAGCTTTGTCACCAGTAGGGTACACAAGCAAGTCATTGGAGAGAAAGAAGGGGGACGTGGAGAGCTTAGCAGAGGTAACACAAGGTGCTATCAGTCCTCACAGAGCGACAGAACTGAGTAAGTCCACCTCGTCTGTTTGACGTGTATGAGTCATGGGTGTGTACGCATGAGTTATGCTAACTCTATCTTTCTGCAGCCAGCCTTTTGGGAGAATTTTATTATTTAAGTCTTCCATAAGTAACTGGTTCTAAATCTCCTTTCTTGGGTTAAAGGTCAATGCTGTTCTTTTCAGGCTGGCCAATTTGGTCAGAGAAATCTCTAACATAACCAAATATAGAGGGTTCTTTAAAACCAGTGCCTCCCGCTGATGTCAATGGGATGGCATGAAAGAACAAGGATTTTTTTCAGCTCTGGGGGCTAAAGGTAAAACAAAAAAGAAGAAGCAATGTAGAATATATTGATGCTTCAGAATTTTTGGATTACTGTTTTTCACTAGATTACCAACGACAGTGAAATTCCTATAGTTTTCTCAGCCTGAATAAATGTATTGATCAGGTTTTCTTTCCATCAAAGAATACTGTATGCATGAATAGATGATACACAAGTTCAGTGTCAGAGAAACATTTATAAATTCTACTGGATTGCCATCTAAATGAGCCTCATGTGCTACCAGATTTGCAGCACTCAGATATTCTGTGCTCCAAATCAGTCCTGGGCAAATTCTATTCCTGCAGCTCACCCATTTTTCTATTATAGCTAATCCAATTACCTCAGACTCTTATCTTCCTACCAGTGACCATATATGTCACTCTCCTCATGTAAGTCATCTTGTAGAAAAGTTAATGAGCGTATTTGTGTGAGGGAAGTTATGGACCAAAGTGTTTAAGGGCATAGGAGTTTATTGCCTTTGTGGAAAGCAAGGCAACACATGGATGGACAGGATGAATGCATGTAGTTTAAACAAATGAAAACAAAGCCTGAATGAGTGTCCAAAAAAGACCAAACCTCACCCTTGGCTTAAACATGAAATAGTACACTGAAATAAATATGTACTTGAGAGCAAATAATCAGCAGGTCAGAGAAAGCTGACCGACAGAACAGCTGACCGACAGCTGACAGACAGAACTGTTTCCCCTTCCTGAAGGTCCCCATGTAGCTGTGCAGCATGTCAGTTGCTGCTGGTGGAAACCTGCAGGTTCTAATGGAGCTCACCAGGACAGTCTGATTTCATATTTTTGCATTCACCCCTTGAATCAGGTCAAATCTACTACAAATGTATTAAATTAGAGAGGAGAAATAAATGTAAAACTTATTCAGAGGAAAAGAGAATCCATCTTTTCTTTGCACCTAAGCTAGTTACAGAAATGAGTTCAAACTGCGGCAGGCAGAGGATGTTAGCAAAGGTTAAGGTGCCTGCAAGCCTGCATAAGCGGGTGGCCTGCTGCACTCAAGTTATCCCACAGAAGCCAGGGTATAAAAATGCATCCAGAGAGTTTGTAGTCTTCCAGCACAGGAGGAATCATCCTGTGGCAATTATTGTCTTTCTACAGCTGTGTGGTAGTTTATTTTCCATGTCTGGCAGCGGCAAGTTCAGCTTCCAGAATCAAACAGGGAGATGGGATCCAGCAACTGCTCATATGAGATACTTGGGAAGAAGCCTGATGACTGAGTTACATCGAAAAAGATGAGAAGGGCGAGACCTGTATTAGTTGAGCGCCTATGATGCTCCAACACCATACAATAGGAGAAAAGAAGAAAAATGCACATTTTGAGCAGTGCTGCCAAAGCCCACCAAAACCACTGCAGGGGCAGGAGCAATTGCCCTGCGACTCTGGAGCCGCTGCCCAGCTGTACCACTGGCACCAGAAAGGGAGCAGAGCAGGCAAGAGCGTGTCAGACAGGAAGGGTGGGGGGAGAGTCAGCATGGGGTGACTGTTAGGGTGAAGGAGGAGGAAAAAAACGGGAAGAGAACTAGTCTGTTTGCTCTGGGATACAAACCAGCTCTTAGCTAAATAGCTCTGTGTGGGATTGTCAGCATAGCTGATGCCAGATTATTCCAGCAAAAATCAGCATTACAGGAATATATTCAAGTGCTGGATATGGGAAGGGGAGAACCAACCTTCTGCTAAAACTGCTTTGCTGCAAGCAAAGGTCTTTTATTTGAGTATAAACATTCATTACTCCAAGCAAGAAATCATCCCACCTAAAAAAAATCCATAACGAAAGAAGCCGTAGGGTATACCGTCTTCAAGAACATATTTCCCCTCCCGTTGAGAGGACACATCACAAAGACTTCTAAAAGGGCAGAGAGGTTGTATTATGGAAAGCATTTCAGCTGGAACAGGGCTTTTCCTAATCGGGTAGATCGTAACTCTGGTCAGGTCCCTTTCTGAAAGTCATGAAGGAAACAGGTTCCTGCCTGCAATATCCGGTATACCATGGCAGAATCGTATTCCTGTATTGCTGGGACAGGTGTACAGAGCTGGACTCTGTCTTTCAGTTTACTGGACAGTGCTCTAGAGGCACACAGGCTGTATTGCAAACCTTGTCCTGTTCCTGCTGTCTGGAGGACTGTCACTCTCACCTGGAAGATTTATTTAATGGAAGCCAGAAAAGGGCAGCTAAGATGCTGGCTAGGTGGGCAGCATGGTGTTTCCAAGACAAAGGAAGTGGTCCTTTGCAAAAGAAGACCCTTTAAAGACAGAGAATCACTTACCTATTTCTGTTAACTCTTGCATTTTATGTCCCCTCACTGCTTGCCTGTTCTGCTCTTTAAGACTGTAGGTGCACTGGGACAGCACTGCCTATTCCTTGGTATTTATCCAGTGCCTTATTACATGAAGCTCCAACACGAGATCATCCCTAGGCTATAATAAGTACAGGGAAATAATATTCATTTCAGATAGATATACAGAATAGCTATTATAGCTTTGGATGCAAAGAAAGCAAAAGGGATGCAGATGTCCATAAACAGGGAAATATTTCCTCTGATTACAGGTTTCCTCCCTGCTTATTACAAACAATTGTCAGCTGTTCTTGCCCATAGATATATCAAGATTGCTCATCACCAAGTTAGCAGCAAGGTGATCCACAGTTGCTTCTGTAATTTTGGTTTAGAGTTATTACAGCAGCACAAGTCAGAAGGATTAAATGAGAAGGAAGGTATGTTGAATACAGGAAAATACTATACGCAAATAGTGGTTATTCATGACTGAGTCACAAAAAATGCGCATTCAAAATCTGTCATGATTTAAAGTTCTAACAATATGATGCTTTGCGTTTATGTAATGACTTTCACTGGAGGATTTCAAAGAGCTTAGGAGGCACTGAGATGAATCCAAAATAATGTCAGTCTCACAAGGGGACTTTGGGTGCATTTCAGTTCAAATCAGCAGCTAGTGGAGGGGTGATGCACTTGGGAATTAAAATAATGAAAAAGCTAACGGACATAAGAAGTGTTAATACAGTCATGGCAGTCAGCAAAATAAGACTAGGCCTTCAAACCTAGGGACAGATGAAGCAGTGTGAGGGGACATAAGCGAAGTAAGTGCTACCACAGTGTTACTATGGCTGTCGATCATTATCTCCCAGGAGCAAACGTCACCAACGAATGCTTCTGAGGATGTATCTGTGTGTTAGGAGGGCACTGCACCTGGGCAAGCTATTACGTATCGTCACTAGCAAAGATTAGGTAACGTTGTCTTGACTATCTCTTAATAACACCTGGCACAGTTGTTATTTCCCTGCACTGCAAAACCGTACAGTCAGAGAAATGGATGGGAAAGGAACTTAAAGAAAACAGTGACTCCTGGGGGTTTCCAAGACGCCAGAAGGAGCTGGAAAAGAAAACTGCAAACTTAAAAGAAGATCATGCACGCTCTTCCCCCCCCTTCCCTTCACAGATGCGCACTAAGTAATAAGCAAAAATTGGAAAAGATAAAAGCAATAACATTCAACACCAAGCCTACTTTGAAATGAAGAGCATTGCAAAAATATGGCACAACGTGATCCTTGGTGGCCTGGGGATGAAAAAGGACAGACAAAGATGGATCTGGTTCATCTTATCTCCAAGCAGGTTCAGCCTCTGTTGATCCCGAGAGATGCATTTTTAATATCCTTAAAAACATTCAGTGACAGAGAACTTAAAACTAGACTGAACATCCTTCTCTCTGATTATATTGCAGTGTCTAGAGGTAAGCATCAAATAAATGTGTTGTGAACACCTTAAGAGGCTGAAACATTACTCAGTGAGTGTGTATGATGAGCATCAGCAGGAACACTCATGGGGAATCGTCCATCACTCATCACAGGAAGAAACAGTCTTTCCTCAGAGAGTACACAGTAATTTCACAGCGCTTTCTTTCATTCTACTTTCACAAAGCCTGCGAAGGGATAGTTGAAAATTATAATTCTTGAAGGTAAAGATGACCATCTGTGTCTTGGACATGAGGCACCTCTACAGTGTAGATCAAGAGCGAGTACAGCTGAAGCTGCCTGAAACAGAGTGCTGGCACTGCCATTCGGAGACATGGACATGGGCATCTTAACCCTGTCTTCCCGGGACTTGCCGAGAGCTCTCAAACTGTTTGTTAACTGCATGCAGACTGCAAACTGAAGAGTACTCCTAGGTTTGTAGTTTGATGTATATTCTTTAGCAAGAAAAACTACGGGCTCTCAGGTTGATTCAGTCTACTCCTGTATAAAGAGGATTTTTGTCTTCTATCTAGTATATGCATTTGTCAAGATGAGCTAGGAAAAAGAGATAGACCTGGAATATGAATGTTTCCAATAATAATGCAGAATAGAGCAATATCATTTTAGAAAGCTGAAGATGGGAACTGAGATTTTATTTGTGGGAGATAGATACATTTTTTAGAATACGATAAAATCTAACTTCATTGCCTGGTTTAGAGCAAAACCTCGATTATCAGTGCGTTGAAACTGCAGATTGATAAATGCCTGCTGATGTTGACGGACTTAGTAAGGGCAGATCTAGTAGCTACATATCTTACGTGTTGGAATTAGATTCTCCCAGGGAAGCGATTACGAGTGGTAGTTCTGAAAGAGCCATTCG